AACCCACATGGCGGTCCCTGTTCGTCTCTCTGTTTCTGGAAATCACCATGAATCTTTAACCTTTTTTGTTTTTCCCTGCCATCAGTCACCCATCGTCCTGGGGCATCCGTGGTTAAGGCTCCACAACCCCCGCGTAAACTGGGTTTCTAACGTAGTGGAGGAGTGGAGTGATCAATGCCATGTCACCTGTTTGGGCTCAGCTAGAACCCGTCCCATCCTCAAGGCTCCAGCTCTCCCACCACCGGACCTCACCGGCGTTCCAGAGGAGTATCATGACCTTCAGCAGGTATTCTCTAAAGATAAGGCTTGCTCTCTACCACCCCACAGGAGTTTTGATTGTGCAATTGACCTGTTTCCTGGAGCTCCTCTCCCGTCTAGTCGACTGTACAACATCTCCAAACCTGAACGACAATGCATGGAGAAATACATATCTGAGTCACTCGCTGCTGGAATCATTCGACCATCCACGTCTCCCCTTGGAGCTGGGTTTTTCTTCGTCTCCAAGAAGGATGGGACCCTTCGGCCCTGTATCGACTACCGGGAGCTTAATAAGATCACAGTAAGAAATAAATATCCATTGCCCTTGTTGTCCTCAACATTTGAACCCATACAGGACGCCTCTGTTTTCACCAAACTCGACCTGAGGAACGCATACCACCTCGTCCGTATAAAGGAGGGTGATGAATGGAAGACGGCGTTCAAGACACCGATGGGACATTTCGAGTACCTTGTGATGCCGTTTGGGCTCACCAACGCCCCGGCCGTTTTCCAGACACTGGTGAACACAGTTTTGGCTGATTTTGTAAATAAGTTTGTCACGATCTACCTTGATGATATTCTGATCTTTTCGAGGACCCCGGAGGAGCATTCCAGACATGTTCGAGCTGTGCTCCACCGCTTGCGGGAGAACCGCCTCTACGTCAAGGCGGAGAAATGTGAATTTCACGCCCCCACTGTAAAGTTTTTGGGTTTTGTCCTGGAGAGTGGGAGACTGGGGCCTGACCCTGAAAAGGTCCAGGCGGTCCGGGACTGGCCCACCCCTGCCACACGTAAAGAGCTGCAACGCTTCTTGGGGTTTGCCAATTTTTATAGATGCTTTATTAAAGGATTCAGCCAGATGGCCGCACCCCTGACACAGTTGACATCTATAAAGAAACCTTTTGTTTGGGACTCCACTGCCGAGAGGACGTTTGCGGCTCTCAAGGACAGATTTACCAGAGCACCAGTCCTCACCAGACCAGACCCCTCTCAACAGTTCACCCTCGAGGTGGACGCATCTGATGCTGGTGTGGGGGCCGTGTTGTCCCAGGTTTCTCCCTCTGACCACCGTCTCCACCCCTGTGCCTTTTTCTCCCGACGTCTATCCCCAGCCGAGAGGAATTATGATGTGGGAGACCGGGAGCTCCTGGCCATCAAACTCGCCCTGGAGGAGTGGAGGCACTGGTTGGAGGGAGCTGAGCACCCCATTATCATATGGACTGACCACAAGAACCTCGCCTATCTGAAGGAGGCAAAGAGGCTAAACCCCAGGCAGTCCAGACGGTCTATGTTTTTCTCACGTTTCCATTTCATCCTCTCTTACAGACCCGGAACCAAGAACGTAAAACCCGACGCCCTCTCTCGACAGTTTTCAGCTGACTCTAACTCCGAACCCACCACCATTCTCTCTCCTGACTGTGTAGTTGGCTCCATAACTTGGGAGATCCGAGATCAGGTACTCGAGGCGCTCAAGACCACTCCTGGTCCAGTCAAGGTACCCCTCAACACTCTTTTCGTTCCTCCGTCTGTTAGACACAAGGTCATCCACTGGGGTCATACTGCCAAATTCTCGATCCATCCAGGGGTTAGTCGCACAGTAGCCCTTATCAGACGTTTTTTTTTGGTGGCCCACTATGTTTAAAGACACAAAGGAATACATAGCCGCTTGCCGCGTCTGTGCCCGTAGTAAAGCCAGTAATCGGCCTCCCCCCGGTTTGCTTAACCCATTACCCATCCCTTCCAGGCCATGGTCCCACATCGCTTTGGATTTTGTAACAGGCCTGCCATCCTCCCGAGGCTTCTCTGTTATCATGACAGTCGTGGACCGGTTCTCTAAGGCTTGTCACCTCGTCCCCTTAAAGGCTCTCCCCTCAGCTTCCGAAACTGCCACTCTGCTCACCAGACATGTTTTCAGGCTGCATGGAATCCCTATTGAGATCCTTTCAGATCGAGGGCCCCAGTTTGTCTCCAGAGTCTGGAGGGACTTCGCCACCTGCCTCGGGGCCAAGGTCGCCCTCACCTCCGGGTACCACCCCCAGTCCAATGGTCAATGCGAAAGGATGAACCAGGAACTGGGGACCATGCTTCGTTGCCTTTGTTCGTCCAACCCCTCCCACTGGAGTGTTGAATTACCCTGGGTCGAGTATGCCCACAACTCTCACATCTCATCCTCCACCGGTTTGTCACCTTTCGAGGTTTCACACGGTTTTCAACCCTGCTTGTTCCCTTCCGAGTTTCCCTCCTCTGTAGTCTCCGTCCCCCAGTTCCTGAGGCGCGCCAAGCGCACGTGGTCAGCTGCGCAGAAGGCTCTGCAGAGGACTGCCGCCCGCAACCAGCGCCTGGCTGATCGACGCCGTAGGCGGGCCCCAGACTATGCGCCTGGTCAGCGCGTCTGGCTGTCAACCCGAGACATTCCTCTCAGGGATCATTGTAGGAAGTTGTCTCCCCGGTACATCGGCCCCTTCACTGTCTCCTCCGTTATCAACCCCTCTTCCGTTCGCCTGGAGCTGCCCTCTCATATGAAGGTTCACCCCGTTTTCCATGTTTCCCTCCTTAAACCTGTCTCCTCCAGTCCTCTCTGTCCTCCTCCTCCAGATCCGCCTCCTCCTGTTCAGTTGGCTGATGGGGGTCTCGGTTTCCGGGTTCGGCGTCTCCTGGACGTTCGGCGCCGTGGTCGCCAATACCTGGTGGAATGGGAGGGCTACGGGCCCGAACACAGGCAATGGGTGCCTGGGTCTTGGATTGTGGACCCCTCGCTCGTCCGGGATTTCGAGGCGGCCCGGGCTGCCTCCTCCTCCTCCTCCGCCTCCTCTGTCTGGACGCCGGGTGGCGTCCCTTGAGGGGGGGATACTGTCACGGTCTGGGGGTGTCATCTTTCTCTGATTTACTTTTTGAGCTTCCTTTCCTCTGCAGGTGGGTGTGTCCGGTTGTGGGGAAGTTGCTAGCAGCTGCAAGCAATCCACTCATCACCTGCCAGGGGATATTTAAGCACCTGAGAGGCGGCTTCACTTTGCTGGATGATTAACTCTACTTGGACATCCTGTTACAATTACTACCTGGTCAACCTGCCATTCGCCTCTCAGCGTCCTCCCATGGTCTCCCCCACGCCGGCTCCCCACCTTCCTCCTGGATCTCCTGCTCAGTAATTGCTCAGCTCCCTCCTCGCCTGGACTCTCAGCTTCCTCTAACTCAGTAAGCCATCTGCTTCACCCCCAGACCAGACAACCAACCTCTCCCGAACATTCTAACTGAACCTTCAGACCGTAAGTCTTAACTGATCCATTATTCCCATTTTTCTGCAACCAGTCCTGACATTTTTTCGTCCTTCAGACTCCCCCCACCGGATCCCAGCAGTCCAGCCTGACATTTTGTTCCTGCAATTTCTCCTTTATAATAAATCATTATTTAACTCTAATTCTGACTTGTGGATTGATTCTGTATGTCGTGGGTTAGGCATATACCACCGACCATGACACGTTGAAGTTGCGCCCTTAGATCCCGTTGGTTTTTCCAGCACCCGTTTGGAGCTGCGTCCTCTGTTTATTTATTTTCTCATTTAATAAAACCATATTCGTATTTCTTACCTCCTGCCTGTGGTGATTCTTTCATGTGGGTCAGGAAACTTCCTGCGATCATGACATTTTACTGTGATTGGCTAAAAACAGTTGCGCGGTACCTTGCATGTCCTCCCTCTTTCAGATGATTCTGGCCTGGTTATGGACTATGAAGCAGAACCGCTGCAGCTGCCTCCTGTAGTCTGGTTGTTGCTACTGAGAATCAGCAACTCGAGTCTGCTCCTCACACAGCAGCAGCTGTTGTCGCATGTTATTCACAAACCCTTCTATATTTGAATACAATTTTGACTGAATTGTGTTGCCAAAATAGATACACCACCATTACATTTTTACCAACAGAAATTAAATGTTAATAGCATTTCCAGTAGCGTACTACTGAACATGTTAATGAAATATTTCAATTCTACTGATCATATGTTAATTTATTTAGATATGTTTAGACTAGGATTAGTGGCATTAAACCGAAATATACGTCAAATTTTGTTCCATACATTATTTATTACCTGTAATATCAGCTGGGAAGTAGGAAACTGGAAGACAGCAATTTAAAACATATAGTTGATCCTTTTATAATTTTTTTGTTTTATTTATACATTTTTAGCAGCTTACCATAATCCTGTTTCACTTGAAAGGCCGTCAAAGAGAATATTTGATTAATTGGTGGAGGATTCCATAAAATAGTTGAACACTAAAATATTTGATAGCTGCAGCCCTGCATCTTACAAAAAGACGGTGGAAGAGAACAATTGTTTTTTTTATTATTATTAGTTATTTTTAACATTGCTGTGTTTGACTAAAACACATTATCACGTTATCAGTACAGCTAATCAAGAGTAATCTCAAGTTAATTTAAGATTTACATTCACAATTATGAAATAAACATTTTTTAGTATTTCTATGAAATACATTTTTTCTCATTGAATATACTCAAAATACATTATATCTTTCTTTACTTGAAGAGCAGTAATCTGTCAGTCAATGACGAGAAACATGCATCATCTCTGAGCTGCCTCTTTTCCCTCAAGTCGTTTTTTCCTGACATAAACTCAGAAGTCCCGTGTTTGAGATTCTGGTATGTAGGCCTCCCATTGTGACTCTCACATGATGAATGAAGCTCAGCCCTCACAGCGCTCTGACACTGAACACAACGGGGTTAATCCACACAAGCATACTATTTAGTTTCACACTGCAGCAGCAAAGATTCTCTTATGTTTCACTTCAGTTTGTGCTCTGCCCTGAAAGCACAGGGAGGATCATTTCCTGCTCATCTACAATTACAGGCGATATTTGTAAATGGAGGGATTTCAATGGCTGTGTGTCAAGAGAAACGCTTCGCAGGATGAGTCCAGTCCACTCATACCAAAGGTCTGTCTTTCACTTAGCTTTTAAGAAAAATATGTTTGTGCTGTGGCGATAGAATGTTGTTTGAGTTAGACCTCCTGAGAGCCTGAACTTTTCTGTGTTTTCAGACAAAGGCAGCAAAAGCAGGAGATGAGGAGCTTGGCCTGGTAACCAATGGATTTCAGACAAATGAAGAACAGAACAAGAACAGCAATGCTGCATTTCCCAGAATCCAGCCTAACTTCAGTTACTCTTTGATGGACTATTTCCTGAAATACTTTATGTTCCTGTGCAACCTGCTTTTCACTGTTTTGGGCCTGATTGTTCTCACTTTGGGAGTCTGGGGCCTCAACACCAAAGAATCGTTTGCCCAAGAGAACATCGGCACTATCGGAACTGACCCAATGCTGATACTGTTTAGTCTAGGCTTCCTGCTCACTTTGCTCTGTCTGACAGGGTGTGTGGGTGCCTTAAGGGAGTACTGCTGCCTGCTGAAAGTGTTCTCAGCCACAGTGCTGGTGCTCATCACAGCTCAGGTGCTGCTTGCCATTGTCGTCTACAGTGTGCGGGATCAGATCGCAGGCTACTTGAGGTCAGGGATGTTAGCAGCCATGGCTAACTACCAGGATGATCCGGATGTGAGGTTCATCACAGATGAGATTCAGTTCAGTCTGCAGTGCTGTGGGGCAGATAACTACCGGGACTGGGGCGTCAACATGTCAGTGAAGCATGAATCACTTCCTTTAGTTTTCTTATGTAATTACAAAACAGATTAAGATGAAGCATTTTAACAAAGCTTTGTTTTCTCTATTATCCTCAGATATTACAACTGCTCTGCTCCAGGGGTCCTGGCCTGTGGTGTCCCTGCTACGTGCTGCATCAACCCTTTGGAGAATGGCACCGTGTGGAACTCTCAGTGTGGTGTGGGAGCCCAGCTTTTAGATGAGTTCACTGCGCAGAGTGTCATCTTTTTAGGTGGATGTCTGGGCGGCATCACCCACTGGATCAACCAGCACGAGGGCCTGATCGGGACGGTTGGAACCATTGTTGTTGGGGTGGAAATTCTGGCTGTGTTCATCACCACACGACTGCTGGAGAGCATCCATTGGCACAAAACTCACCAGCTACACAGAGTAATAAATACAGCAGTTTAACAAGTTCTAGTGTGTACTTTATCTAGAGTGGTGTGAAAAACTATTTGCCCCCTTCCTGATTTCTTATTCTTTTGCATGTTTGTCACACAAAATATTTCTGATTGTCAAACACATTTAACCGTTAGTCAAAGATAACACAAGTAAACACAAAACTGCATTTTGTGTTTACTTGTGTTATCTTTGACTAATGGTTAAATGTGTTTGATCTTTATCACTCTCTAGATCTCTCTGTGTGTCTCTCTATCTTTAGATCAGTCTCTCTTTAGATCTGGATCTCCCACTAGGTCTAAATTAAGATCTCTCTCTCTCTCTCTCTCTCATATATATATATATATATATATATATATATATATATATATATATATATATATATATATATATATATATATATATGTCACCTAAAGGATCATTAGTAAAGGATTATTAGTAATACCTGTTCAACTTCTCCTTAATGCAATTATCTAATCAGCCAATCACAAAGCAGTTGCTTCATAGCATTTAGCGGTGTGGTCCTGGTCAAGACCATCTCTTGAACTCCAAACTGAATGTCAGAATGGGAAAGAAAGGTGGTTTAAGCAAGTTTGAGTGTGGCATGGTTGTTGATACCAGACGGGCCGGTCTGTGTTTTTCACATTCTGCTCAGTTACTGGGATTTTCACCCATAAACATTTCTAGGGTTCACAAAGAATGGTGTGAAAAGGGAAAAACATCCAGTATGCAGCAGTCCTGTGGGCGAAAATGCCTTGTTGATGTTAGAGGTCAGAGGAGAATGGGACTTGAGGCGGATGGGCTACAACAGCAGACGACCCCACCGGGTACCACTCATCTCCACTACAAATTGGAAAAAGAGGTCATCAGATCTCAACGCAATAGAGCATCTTTGGGATGTGGTGGAACAAGAGCTTCGTGCCCTGGATGTTCAACCCACAAATCTTGACTTGAGTTGAGCAGTAGCTCATCTGGTTGAGCGGGTTGTCCAGTAATCGGAAGGTTGCAGGTTCGATCCCGGCTCCGGACAGAGAATTCTGCTGTCGTGTCCTTGGGCAAGACACTTAACCCCCCTTGCCTGCTGGTGGTGGTCGGAGGGACCGGTGGCGCCTGTGCTCGGCAGCCTCGCCTCTGTCAGTGCGCCCCAGGGCAGCTGTGGCTACATCGTAGCTCATCACCATCAGTTTATGAATGGATGAATGATACACTGTAGTGTAAAGCGCTTTGGAGTCCTTACTCTGAGAGGCGCTATACAAGTGCGGGTCATTTATCATTTATCTCCATCAATACATCATATATGTATCTCTATCTATATTTATATCCATCTCTCCATCTCTACATTTATCTCTATCTCTAAATCTATTTCTCTCTGTCTGTACTATACTAGTTTATTTATAAAGCACATTTAAAAATAGCATGGCAGCTAACCAAAGTACTGTACAGAAGAGCGAAAGACTCACACACAACAACAAAGACAGCATAGGAGTAAAATATAAAGCTAAAAACATATAACACACATAAAAGCAGCATTTAAAAGCAAGGCATGAAATTACTATAAAGTTGACTAACCATAAAACAAGTAAAAGCACTAAGATAGGAGATAAAAGAGAAACAAGTAAAAAGTAACTGAGCAATGTTAGTGAGCTAAAAAGTACAGAAGAATGTCACAAGCTGGAGAAGCGTCACACTGACGTATGAAGACAATCATATGGGAAAAGCCAGGCTAAAATAGTGTGTTTTGAGGGCAGACTTACCCCGGGTTTCCACGGGAGCCGTCAGCAGCACGTTACTGCAGCAGCACGTCTAGCTGCTGCTTGGCCCTTCCAAGCCCCCACAATGCCGCTCAGAAAATGGTCCCAACCCGGAAGTAAGAAAAATTGCAGTTCCACCCTCATCCGCTGGGGGCTGGTGCCAGAAGCGAGCAAATCCTCATTGACTCCCATGTTGAAAATGCCGATTTCACAGCAGAAATAAACATGTTTACAGCCTGGTGCCAAAACATGTTTTTTGTCTAAATGATCTAGTTTATACTCATGACAACTCTGAGGGGGGTGAATTTTTTTCTCACTCTTCTGTTTAAGTGTATTGAAAGCCTAAAATTCTGTATAATTAATGAGCATCAGACCCACGTGACCGCCGCCTCAGACCCACGTGACCACAGAGCTAGCTCCGTGGAAAGGCCTCAGTACAGCCTCGGTCTCTCCTGGAAGCTGTTTCGGGATTTTGAGTCTCTGTGCTTGTGAATTCTGTTTTGGATATTATTGGTGCAATTGTTGGACAAAATGACTTGCAGTGGTATTAATTGCACTAATAGAGCGTCCAAGGAGTCTCCACTTCATTTTTTTCGGTAAGTTAAAATCTATATTCGTATTTTATGTCACTGCTGCCTTTAAACTAGCTGAGTTTACCGAAGTAGCTAGCTAACCATCAGTTTAACATGTAGCATTTACTGTTTAACCATGAAATTTAAATGTAAAATACGGTAAAATAATTAATAGGGCATATTTAGATGGGTAATATGGTAAAAGATCAAAATGGGTTGAAATATGACGGAGCGCTAAGAGGGAGACTTCTGTGTCCATTCTTCCACCCGGTAATCCCCAGCGGTCAGGCCGGGCAGCCTGACCGATCCGGCGCCTACTTGCTGCGCCTAGCTGCTGCGCGGTCTGACCGCTCGTGGAGTTTTTCATGTCTGACTTTAACCGCATCTAATACTGTATTAGGGCGTGAGCGCAACAGCGACAACTTAATATCGATGTGTAAGCAGCCTGAGTGGTAGGGTGTTTTCATCTGAACCCTTAAAATCTCCAGCAGGCTTGGAGTGACACCTGTGTCCATTCTTCCATCCGGTAATCCTCAGCGGTCAGGCCAGGCAGCCTGACCGGTGCGGCGGCTAGTTTCTGCGCGGGCTGACCGCTCATGGAGCTCTCAGAGACAGATCTGACCGGAGAAATACTGCAGCTCTGTGAGAAGTCTATAGGGCATACAGCGTTTCCCTTAAATCCCACCGCCACGCCGACAAGATCCCAAGTTTCTTTGTTTTTGTTGGCGCTGTTTACCGAAGAAGCAGCGGGAACTAATATGTTGTCGCTTGTGATCACAGCCGGCGGGTAGCAAGTATGTACAGTCTATGATTTTACCTCTCCCTCCTGCAGTCTTCCCCTATTAAAATTTAAAATGTGTAACTTCATGTATTGGGATGAATGACTGATATTCATGTTAAACTCAAACGTTAGGCATTTAGGGGGAAAAAACAAAATAATAAACATTATACAGATGTCAAATAAATCAAACTGTAATTAAACAATATATTTTCAAAGTCTCGATTCTGGATAAAATCCAGCAACATATGCTTTATAAATAAACACTACACATGGCTTTTACACACACACACACACACACACACACACACACGTTACATTGTGATTTCTTAGTAAATATTCTATTTGGCGAGAGATAAATTTTATTGTATTTATCCTAGTGAATCTATAATTAAACGGGTAAACTAGTAGTAGCACATCCAACATCAAAGAAAGTAAAATGTTATTATCAGGAGAGGGAGAATGATTAAGTGGTTAGCAGCAGTGTGCTAGACGATGGCCCCCTCCATGAGGCCACCACAGCTCAGCAGAACATCATTGTAGCTTCTTCTGGGGAGAAAAACACTTAGAGAAAAAATAAAGTTAACAGCTGAAATAGCAGGAAATAATACAGTTAAAGAGCAGATTGTAGAAGAAAGAAACCCCTGGGTTAAACTGGTCTGTCTACTGCATAATGCTGAACTCTAACATGTGTCCTCAGGGAAGGACCTGATTGGTGTCCAGAACCTGCTGAAGAAGCACGAGGCTCTGCAGGCTGAGATCACAGGTCATGAACCTCGCATCAAGGCTGTCACCCAGAAAGGAGAGACCATAATGGAGGAAGGTAGAGCAGGTCTGGTCCTGACATGTTTCTGAGGTGTCTGCAGGTTCTGGCTCACTTTGTTTGGGTCCAGGTCACTTCGCTGGTTCAGAACCCTCGGCCCGTCAGAACATTCTTATCCACCACGTTCTAACACCAGACCTGTTAACCCGACAGCAACAAGTGGCTCCAACTGACGATTTGACCGGGAAGGAGCTGGTTCTGGCTCTGTACGACTACCAGGAGAAGAGCCCTGGAGAGGTCACCATGAAGAAGGGCGACATCCTCACGCTGCTCAACAGCACCAACAAGGTTCGTGTGCCCTTCACAGCCGAGGAACGACCTCCAGCTCAGAGCGAACATCTCCACACCTGCTTTGTGTTTGTGTGACTTTAGGTTGTTTTACTTGAACTCGCGTCTTTAGCTGAATGAGGATGGAGAGACGGGTCGGACCTGGAGCAGGTCGAGGTCTTGCAGAAGAAGTTTGACGACTTCCAGAAGGTCGGACTTTTCCTCCTCTCCGTCTTCCAGCAGCAGCTGTCAGATCAGCTCAGGTGATAATCAGCAGGTGCTTTTGTCCTGCAGGACCTGAAGGCCAACGAGTCCCGCCTGAGGGACATCAACAAGGTGGCATCTGAACTGGAGTCAGAAGGTCTGATGGCTGAGGAGGCTCCTATGGTTCAGGCTCAGGTGAGCGTCACCTGTCTGCAGCAGCTGGTCCCTCTCACTTCCTGGTTTGTTAACTCTGCTCGTCTCTGTTTGTAGCAACAAGAACATCTGGGTTCTGCTCCTGGAAAGGTGCGTGTTGTCCTCCGCCTCCACCAGAACCAGACGTGGTGTTTTTGTTACCACTCATTTGTTTGTTTACAGGATGAAGCCGACTCTAACCCCGGCTTTCCACAGGAGTCGTCAGCAGCGCGTTACTGCAGCAGCACGTCATAGCTGCTGATAGGAACCGCTGTGGTCAACAGAACCTTTTCCACTGGAGCCGTCAGCAGTGCGAGTCGGCCGCGTCTCAGGAGCAGCATGTCGCGGCCTTTACGCGCCGGTTCTATTTTCTACGCGCGACGCCTCTGAAACGGGTCAAGTTCGACATTTTTGGGGAAGGAAAGACAGGAAATCGGACGTGGAAATTGAGAGAAGCTACCGAGATTTTCAGAATAAAGAACGTACTGCCTTCCGGTTGCTTTAATTTTAAAAACAGTTACTAACTGTGCGGCCCCGTGAGAAGTTATCACCTAGCTAGCGGTCTCCTTTGTTTTTCAGGTCCGTATTGGCGATTATAAAATGGACAGAACATAAAACACAAACCATGTTGTAGTTTTCTCCTGCTTGTTGTTGTGTTTACTGACGAAGTCACTCGTGTGACTTCGTGCTCGGTCGGTGACAGCTGCTCTCCTGCTGCTTCACGTCTCGTGGGAAGGGCCAAGCAGCAGCTTACGCGAGCAAGACGTGCTGCTGCAGTAACGTGCTGCTGACGGCTCCCGTGGAAACCCGGGGTAACACGGCGTCACCCTAGAAGGTGAGTTCATTCAGCTGATCAGAGGTCACCTCTGATGGCCGCAGTCACGGCCGACCGTGCTGACATCACACAGGAATTCAGGTGACCCGGCAGGCACCAGGTGCTGGTGAAAGTGGGGACATGTCAGCTGGTTGCCATGGCTACAGTTATCTTTATGCATCTGTATGACTGCTGACTGGTGTGTGTGTTTCCTGTGACCTTTGACCTCAGACCGTACGGTTGGGCGTTCAGACGACGGCTAACTTTAATTCCATCAAGGTAAGAGGAAGCTCTTCCCTTCCTGTCTGAGCGATCCGTCTCCAGGTTTCCTTGTCCGGCGTCCAGCCCGCTGGCGTCCACCTTCATCTCACAGGGTTTGGTTTCTCTCCAGGAGCTGAACAACTGCTGGCGCTCGCTGCAACAGCTGGCTGAAGACCGGAGCAACATGCTGGGCAGCGCCCATGAGGTGCAGCGCTTCCACAGGTACCCCGCACACTTATGCGCCGCTTACGGGTCAGTAGAGTTTGGACCCACACTCAGACGGAGTTCTGATGTCTTCTCAGAGATGCTGATGAGACCAAAGAGTGGATCGAGGAGAAGAACCAGGCCCTGAACACAGACAACTACGGCCACCACCTGGCCAGCGTTCAGGCTCTGCAGCGTGAACATGAAGGCTTTGAGCGTGACCTGGCAGCTCTGGGTGATAAGGTCCGCTTCCTGATCGGTACCAGGACCCGGGTTGTTTCTGGAGACACGTTCTTCATGGTTCTGGTGACTCCACCCCAGCCGTTCCTGATCAGCAATCAGCGGGGTGCTTTCCTATTTAAGGTGGATGGAGGACACAAGTTGACGCCAGAAGATTGCCTCAGTTTTGGTAGTAACCAGCCACTCGTGTTACCTCTAGTGTTCCTAGGATTAATGTTATTTCGTAGTGTTTTTGCTCTTATATTGGATTTACCATTCTTCAGGATTCCTGTCGACCTCATTGGATACTGACCTCTACTCCAGGATTTGGATATTCAACACACGGACCTTATCACCAGCCTCCATAACCCACCTCTCATCTCACCCAGTGCCCCATCCACCAGGACGCCCCGCTTCTCTCCACCTCTGCTCCCTCTCCTGCGCTTCCCCCGGCTCTCTACCTCTCCCTCCTCCAGCCAACACATACACCCACCACAGTAAGTCTGCTGAACACCTCTGCCTGCCTACAATGGATTTTGAAACCAGAACCTAAGCTCACCTGTGTTCTCCCTCCTCCAGACGCTGAGCTGTTGTTGCAGTTCCAACCACAGACTTATCTGTGCACCTTAAGTTCCTCCTTATAAAGAAATCATTTTTTCCATCAGTTTTTGGTCAGTGTTGTATTCTGCATGTCTTGGGTTAAGTACCTTCCTCCAAACATGACACTCCTCTTCAAAGAGCAAATCTGTTCAGCACATTCTGACAGACAGACCACCATTCTTCTGTCATGATGCTGTACAGGACATTTTTAGAGTTTTTCTTTTTAAAGATAAATAGGATTACATTTAAATAGCAATACTTTCACATTATCATTTTCCCACACTTCTGTATACCTGTATTTTGTTGTTTTTCAATAAAGAATGACAAATTATTTAAGTTTGGATTTGTTGCACACAAATATAGATCTGTAAAAAATATCTACAAAGCTAATGTTTACATAAGTATGATTGGGTTTTGCAATACGCCACTATTTTAGTAAGATTTTTAAACCAAGTAAAGTTAGTAAAGAACACATTTCTATTGTCTGCTAAGAAACTGTTGGGATTTAAAATGGGCCTGTTGTACAAATAACTTGTAAATGATTATTCCTCACTTTTGTCTTAACCAAAGAAATTCCAGTAATTGAGCAAAAACATTTATTTTTAACACTACATTTTATAAAACAGGGCGCAAAGTGTCGGCACATGTATGTATGTCGATGGTCCGCCCCAACCGAACCAGGAGACACAGACGTCAGGGAGGCCAAGGTTGTCTCTGCAGCTCTCTGGGCACCACGCCTCACTCAGCTGTCTCCAATGATCCAAATGGCTATGGAGAAAAAATAACAGGTTTGTCATAATTGTTTAAAGTACAAAACCATACATGAAGTGGTGAGACAGGTATGTGGAATTTACACTTGCTGCTTTGTGTAGCTGATGTTGGAGACACACAGGCTGCCATGGTGACCTTTTAACAGATCTAAGAAAAAAATGAAAATTAAAAACTCCAAGACCTCATGTCATATTTACTAATCAGCTATGGCTGATTTATTGTTTGGATCACAGTGAGTTACACTAATTCTAATATATTTTTATTTCTATTATACATACATACTTTTTAACTGTTATTTTCACATGACTGTTATCAGGCTCTCTTGTTCTGGTTCTCATGATAATTCCGTGTCTTCCAGTAAGTTATCTTGTGCTTACTTCATCTGTAGAATGTCTCTTTACTTTTGGTAAATTGTACTGAGTCCAGAATAAAGACTAGTTGGCTGTACAAGATACAAACAAGTATTACATTTTGGAAATATATGAAATGTATTTAGGCTGCTAATTTAGCTCGAATACTAATAACTGCCATATTTTCCGGACTATAACTCGCACTTTTTTACATATTCTGGCTGGTCCTGCTACTTATACTCCAGAGCGACTTATATAACAAAATATGTAGGCTACACCGCGCTGCTGCGGGCCGACTCCGACCCACACAAGAATGAGTTCCCCTGTCCCGCTGGGAGGGTTTCAAACACCGCCAGCATCTGTTAGAGCCTGTGGCGGGGTGCTGAGGGCCGGCTCCAGCCCAGGAATGAGCTCTCCTCGCCGGCCGGGAGGGGTGGAAACACCGCCATCCTCTCCTCTGCTGGCTGTTCATTCTGTTATGGTTACCGGTGCTTGTGTTGCAATGTGAAACGCTTGGTCTCAGATTTTGTAAGAAAGATAATAAAATGTCCCCCCAAAATACGACTTAAATATATGTTCTCTTCTTCATGATACATTTAATGGCTGGTGCGACTCAGGAGTGATAGCGCCGAAAAAAACTACTGAAAACTTGCTCAAAGCAAAATGTTTTCATTACGGAAATAAATTATAAACTTACCGATTTAAAACTTTTTTAATACTGGTACTTTTCACGAACAGGCGCAGAAAACCTCCACCTAAACTCCGTGTAAGGTTCAGGTCGATGGGTGTTCCAGTTAGCTCCGGTTGGGTTGAAGCTAGGTGGCTACATCCGTTAGCTCGGCTCCCACCTCCGCTTTAGCTTTGGGTTAGCCAGGGTTAGCTTCAGGTTAGCTCGTAGCTAGTTCGCCAGGGTGTCGTCACTCGAGCCCAGCCTTACAGCCACACCCTCAGCGCCTCCTCTCTTCCCTTTTATGGAATTGTCTGGGCTGGACGGAACCTGTGACACGGTCAAAATGGCGGTGGTGGCCACCTCCCATTATAGACAACAAACGTGTTATTGAAGCCAATGGAATCCGTTTGTCCAGTATATGTACAGTCTATGGGCCCTTCCCACGAGACGCGACGCAGCAGAGGAGCAGCCGTCACCGACAGGGCACGAAGTCACACGAGTGACTTCGTCAGTAAACACAACAACAAGCAGGAGAAAACTACAACATGGCTCCAAAATGTTTGTGTTTTTATATTCTGTCCGTTTTATAATCGCCAATACGGACCTGAAAAACAAAGGAGACCGCTAGCTAGGTGATAACTTCTCACGGGGCCGCACAGTTAGTAACCTTTTTTAAAGTAAAGCAACCGAAGGCAGTACGTTCTTTATTCTGAAAATCTCTGGAGCTTCTCTCCATTTCCGCGTCCGATTTCCTGTCTTTCCTTCCCCAAAAATGTCGAACTTGACCCGTTTCAGAGGCGTCGCGCGTAGGAAATAGAACCGGCGCGTAAAGGCCGCGATATGCTGCTCCTGAGATGCGGCCGACTCGCGCTGCTGACGGCTGCTGACGGCTCCTGTGGAAAAGGTTCTGTTGACCACAGCGGTTCCTATCAGCAGCTATGACGTGCTGCTGCAGTAACGTGCTGCTGACGGCTGCTGTGGAAAGCCGGGGTAAAACCTACAAAGGGAAGATGCCTGACGCACGTGGAGGGGCAGAGTTCCAGAGTTTGGGGGAAGCGTGTGAGAAGACACGCGCACCCTGAGATTTATAGTGAACCTTCGGAACAATCAGCAGCAGCTGATCAGCTGAACAAAGGGCACAAGTGGGTGTGTAGAGATGCAGCAGATTGGCCAAGGTGATGGGCAGTTCAAAGCCTTGTAGACAAACATCAGGATTTTGAATTGAATTCTAAATTTTACCAGGAGCCAGTGTAAGTCTGCAAGAGTGGAAGAGGTGTGTGCATCTGTTGGTGTTGGTCAAGAATCTGGCAGCAGCATTTTGATTAAACCTCCTGTAGTCTGCCCATGGTGGAAGCACTGATGCCAATCTGGACTGCATTTGCATATTCTAGGCGGGAGGTAATTAACGCATGGATTACGGACTCGTGATGTGGGTGTTTGAGAATGGGCTCAAAGTGAGTGATCTGGCGAAGCTGGAAAAAGCACAACCTGATGGTTGTGTTGACTTGAGAAGTCATAGACAGGTCGGAATCTAGTTTCACACTCAAACTACTGGCACATGATCGGAGATTGAGGGCAAGTAGGGTTGGCACAGCTGGTATCCTACTGGGGTTTGTAGGGTTAAAAAAATGGCCTCTGTCTTGCTGTCATTTAAACACAGGTAGTTAGAGGATAGCCAGGTTTTGATGTCAGAATGGCAGTCTGCCAAAGAAGAGACTGATAGATGCTGACTGAGTTTAAAGTAAATTTGACAGTCATCTTCGTAGAAGATGTAGTTGAACCTGTGACTGGCTAGAATCTTGCCAAGAGGAAGCATGTATATAGGAAAATGAGTGGAACTAGGATAGAGCCTGACATATCTATCTATCTATCTATCTTTATTGTTACATCCTCGACAGGAGGTGTTAAAATGTGGAGGGAGTAACATAAGAAACATGATAGTGGGTTTAATTGTCATAAAAAGGTTCTAAAAACAAGTGAGCAAACAGATGGAGGGCATTATAAAAATAATGCCAAATGAAAGCATACTAAAAAGGTTAACATTAAGAGACCATTTACCAACATTAAAACACCTGGTTACAACTTTGTTAAAAGTTTTAAATGGTAAATGGTCTGTATTTGATATAGCACCTTCTAGAGTCCTGGAACCCCCTAAGGCACTTTATAACACAATAAGTCAATCACCCATTCACACACACATTCACACACACATTCACACATACATTCACACAAAACAGAAGATGTTTAAAACCAAAGTCAGTTAAATTGCATCAAACCAAGTTAACCTTTAAACAATATCAAAATATCCCTCTGGATCATATCAGAGCTTGAACATTTCTGTTAAAACTCATCAAAACAAAGGAGTTTAAACCAGACTCTGAGGCCTGGAGGACAGCAGAACCCCTGCACTGCTGCCTCCCAGACTGCTAGATGGTACAGCTTTTTATCCGAGGTGTTGTTCATTAGTGGGATTCAAGTCAGCTGTGCTCATCAGCAGCCTGGAGGAAAGGAGGAAGAGGGGCAGACTGATCACCGACCAGGGCTGTGTGATCCTGCCTCCTGGATCACCAGAGTCCAGGCTGGTGGCCATAAGACCCCCACACATTAAAAAAAAAAAGTATAAAATTTAGTGAAACAAGCAACAACAATATTGTTATTTTATATTCATAACTTGTCACACCTGCAGTCATTATCAAGGATAATCTCATCGCTTTGTTGCACAAAGCAAGTTTTATCACCAGTAGAATAGACCATTGTCATGCCCTGCTTTCTGGTCTTCCCAAAAAGAGCATTTCAAGCTTACAACTTTTACAAAACTCAGCAGCACGCATCCTGATGAAGACCAGGAGGTGGGAGCACATTACAACAGTTTTAGAATCGCTGCATTGGCTCCATGTATGTTTCAGGATCGATTTTAAGGTTCTCTTAATGGTTTTTATGTGTCTTAATGGTCTTGGGCCTTCTTATCTTTCGAAACTGCTTTTACCTTACGAACCCTCGCGACCTCTGCGCTCCTCTGGCAGCCGTCTCCTTGTGATTCCAAAAGTCAGGACACATATCCATGGCAAGGTGTCCTTCCAATTTTATGGCCCTCGTCTCTGGAACAGGCTGCCAGAGGACCTTAGGATCGTAGAGAATGTTCATGTTTTTAAGAGCAGGCTTAAGACTCACCTTTTTACCATAGCTTTAACTGATATCTGTTTTTAGCTGCATTGCTTGTTTTATTTTTTATTATTTATAATTTAGTTTTATTAGACATTTATGTCTTAGTGTTTTACTATCTTTGAATCATTTTTATATGTAGGGTTAATGAACTACATATCTAGGAATTAAAAGCTGTTGCTATCAGCTTATGTTTTAATTCCTAAGAAGATCAAACAAATTAACAAATGAAATTTACATGTATATATATATATAATGGATATAAATTCATATACCAACTTGCTTGGTCTGTGTTAATCAAAAGATTATATTTATTTTTAAAGATTTAATTTAATAGCAAAAGTTATTTGTTAATTCAGAAGATCTGAAGATCTTTGCTTGTTCAGTGATCAATGTACACCCACTCCGTGTTTATTTCAAGAAAGAGTCAAGTTTAAAAAGGTTAAGAAATTTATTACTAAACAATTTAAAACATGACAATTTATAAAAGCTTTGGTATGAAAAAGCAACCCCGTGTTTGCATGAATCTAAGGTGAAGTGTGTTTTGTTTGCGGGTGAAGCAATGTCTCAGAACGTGTATCTTAAAGAGAGGGTTCTGGGTGGAGACTGCATAATTATTTTTCTATTTTTGGGGAAATGATGGGATTATGGGTTATATGGGGTGACTTTAACCTGTAAAGCACTTTGAGCTGTATTTTTTATATATGATAAGTGCTATACAAATTAAATTTGATTGAAAGCTTGATTGAAAACTTAATTTAAATTATTTCATAATCTTCCAAATAGATGGCTGTGAGGAAACAATTAAGATCATCCTTATGATGTCAAGATGTGAAATAATTATTTTTTGTGTGCTTTATTACCCCCAGCCAATAATTCCAGACAAAATAAAGACTCCACCCGTCCTCTTCTGATTGATCGATAGTTGTGCTTGTAGCGTGATTAATGATTGGCATTATCACTTCATATTATGACCAATAAGATGTGATGACTCCATATAAATATGAAATATCTGATTGATCTTTGAATGTTTAATCAGAAGATTCTAGGGTTCTTTGCTTCTTTAATGACCATAACAATCTTCTTAATTCAGACAGAGTCAGGCACATAGTCTATAACATTAATCTATTTTTCCTCAACTAATAATTATACATGACAAGATTTGATTAATGAGATGGTGTAATGGATATGAAGTGATTTGTGATGTGTGAGATGTAATTGAAGCTAGATGTTCAGCAAAGCCATTCTTTGCATCTGAAAGTTGTGGTCTGGGTTGTAAAATAATTTGTTGATGTTTATAACTAGAGAGTTATTTAAAAACCTCATCAGACCCCAGCATGCAAGCACACAATACCCTGGTACGAGTTGCTCCCGGTGGTCCGGAGGGGTGTGGCCAGAGTGATGGGGTCACCGGACGTCGAAACCATGATACTCAGAGATTAGTAGCTTCCTCTGAGTTCAGCTTCCCCGGCCATGAGATGCAACTCGGGGTCTGCAGATTAGATGTCTCAGGTGTGACGTAGCTCTGAAAAGAGCTGTTGTGTCTGTGATCACTTGCAACGTCACAGAAAGGCTTTTGACTTAAGGTCAAAGGAGATAGTTTCAAGAGGCTTCTTTCCCGATTCGGCCAAATCTGGAGTCAGCTGGAAACTGGATTAATCGGGAAGTAATTCTTGTTTTAATAAACTACAATGTTATGAGTTCTGGCCAAGTTTGGCAAATCAAAATCTGACACATCTGAGTATTTATCAACATCCCTCTCAGAAAGCCACGCCTTCTTCAGATACAAAAGTTTTAACACTTTGTGAATGAAAATGTTCAAAACTCTTATTAAGGTTGATATTCACCTCACACGAGTATCTTATTGTAATGTGTAAACAATGATTAACTTGTTAAATCAACACAAACTGATCATAAGATCTGAAATGGATCATTGTGAGAGCAACATTCATTTTAAATTCACTGATTTAAGCACAGATTATTCAAACATTTGATTTAAACATCTTGTTCATTTATCACATATGAATATTTAACTTATAACTTGTAAGGTCCTGTAGGCTTCGAGTAGATTGTGTAAAAGCCTGGCTGCTGCATTCCTCACTGAGTGCAAGAACCTTGGGAGAGTGTTTGTGTCAATGTCGGCTCCAGAATTTTTTTTCTGCAGGTGCTATGAAGGAAGTGGTCATGCGTACCTATTGTTCTCTAAAACACCTTCAACACTAGCAGATACACATCATGGATGCACAAAACCTCAACAACACCTGAAACAATCATTAATACACATCATAAACATATGAACAATCGCTGACTTTTCCATGAAATCATAAACACATACAGCCACACAGAAAATCATCCATACTGTTGCAAGGTTAGCTAACGTTAGAGTTAGCATTTCCAGCAGCAAAACCCTCGACTGCTGTGGCGGTTGAGGGTTGACTCTGTTCTTCCAGATCCATAGGTTTTTGTGGGTCTGAGATCACTTCCAAAGATTCATTTGTTTCTGACTGAACCTGTGGAAATTTGGGCAACAAAAACCGATCCATTTTACCACTAGCTCTACCTTTCACTCATTCGCAGGTGGACAATGAGGTCAGAGGTTAACATCAATTTCCTGTTATGGTTTAAGTTTTTACTATCTATATGATAATTTACTGATAATTTTTGTTTTGTATATTAAATATCTGGCAAACTGTCCGGCGCCTCAGGAGAGGAAGGCAGCAACTCGCTCACACTGTTTACAGTGGGCATGGGGAGCTGCTGACGTCAACTGGGGCAATAGTCGGACGGTGGAAGGAATACTTTGAGGAGCTCCTCAATCCCACCTACGTGCATTCTGAGGAGGAACCAGAGCCGGGAGGCCTGGGGATGGACTGTCCAATCTTGGTGGCAGAAGTTGCTGAGATAGTCAAACAACTACACAGCGGCAGAGCCCCGGGGGTGGATGAGGTTCATCCTGGGTATCTCAAGGCTATGGATGTGGTAGGGCTGTCATGGTTGACACGTCTCTGCAACATTGCGTGGTCATCGGGGGCAGTTCCTGTGGAGTGGCAGACCGGGGTGGTGGTCCCCATCTTTAAGAAGGGTGACCTGAGGGTGTGTTCCAACTATAGGGGGATCACACTCCTCAGCCTCCCTGGAAAGGTCTACTCCAAGGTACTGGAGAGGAGGGTCCGATCGATAGTTGAATCTCAGATAGAGGAGGAGCAATGTGGTTTTTGCCCTGGCCATGGAACTGTGGACCAGCTCTATACCCTTGCAAGGGTGATGGAGGGGGCATGGGAGTTTGCCCAACCAGTCCACATGTGTTTTGTGGATCTGGAGAAGGCTTATGACCGTGTCCCCAGGGGCACCTTGTGGGGGACGCTCCAGGAGTATGGGGTGGGTGGCTTTCTGTTAAGGGCCATTCAGTCCCTTTACCAGAGGAGCGTGAGTTTGGTCCGCATAGCCGGTAGTAAGTCGGACCTGTTCCCAGTGAGGGTTGGACTCCGCCAGGGCTGCCCTTTGTCACCGGTTCTGTTCATCTCTTTTATGGACAGAATTTCTAGACGTAGCCGTGGTGTGGAGTGTGTCGAGTTTGGTGGCAGGAGAATCTTTTTGCGGATGATGTGGTCCTCCTAGCTTCATCCAGCTCTGATCTTCAGCTCTTGCTGGGTAGGTTTGCGGCAGAGTGTGAAGCGGCTGGGATGAGGATCAGCACCTCCAAATCTGAGACCATGGTTCTCGACCGGAAAAGGGTGGCTTGCCACCTCCGGGTCGGGGGAGAGGTCCTACCTCAAGTGGAGGAGTTTAAGTATCTCGGGGTCTTGTTCACGAGTGAGGGTAGGAGGGATCGGGAGATCGACAGGTGGATTGGTTCGGCATCTGCAGTGATGCGGACGCTGAGCCGATCTGTCGTGGTGAAGAGGGAGCTGAGCCAGAAGGCAAAGCTCTCAATTTACCAGTCGATCTACGTCCCAATCCTCACCTATGGTCATGAGCTTTGGGTAATGACCGAAAGAACGAGATCGCGGATACAAGCGGCCAAAATGAGTTTACTCCATAGGGTGACCGGGCTCAGCCTTAGAGATAGGGTGAGGAGCTTGGACAATGTTCGGGAGGGACTCGGAGTAGAACCGCTGCTCCTCTGGATCGAAAGGAGTCAGTTGAGGTGGTTTGGGCATCTGGTCAGGATGCCTCCTGGACTCCTCCCCGGGGAGGTGTTGCAGGCATGTCCTGCCGGCAGGAGGCCCTCGGGTCGACCCAGGACACGTTGGAGAGGTTACATCTCCAATCTGGTCCGGGAACGCCTTGGGGTCCTGCCGGAGGAGCTGGTGGAGAAGGCCGGGGAGAGGACGGTCTGGAGCTCCCTAGTTGGGATGCTGCCTCCGCGACCCGGACCCGGATAAGCGGAGGAAGACGACGACGACATTAAAAATCACATCTACACATTAAATTAAAATTAAATTGAAAATAAATAAATAAATCTAATATTTACCATGAAAGGTTATGATGCGTCAATTAGATGGTGAAAAATAGACCCTTTTGTACTTTAAATGCTGAGTTGTCCATCGACAGACCAGACTTCATCGTGGGTACTACTCATTTGGCTCCTCACAGTACAAATGAGCAAAATATGGACTTCTCTGCTTCATTATTTTTTTCATCCTATTTTCATACACAGTTGCTTTTACAATTACAGTATGTTTATTATTGTTGTGATTCTCCAAGTGAAATCATTCCTTCTATATTCATTGTATAATAACCATGTTCTGATGAAAAAAAAACTGGTTTATACATTTTTAGGTTTGTAATTCTAACGTTGCCCTAATTCTTCTCCACTATATTATATATTACTATATTATATTATCTTGCTTTGGAACACAGATTTTATAATGGTATATCTGATTTTTTTAATGCTGTTTTATTTTTACTCATTGTTGTATCCTCTATTTTCATCAATTTGGTCAGCTGTCATGCCATTTTAAAATGTGCTATAGAAAAAAACTTGGTATGGTATAGTGTGGTACTTTGTTAAAGTAGTTCAGAATTGTAAAAACACAAGATAGTATTTCATGGTTGTTATACATATAAACTTTAGTTTGCTATCACTATCTGGCAACCCACAGAAACTGAAATTGCAGTAACCAAATCTGGCCCACAAAAGGAAATCTTTGCATGTTGTGATATACGGGTTTACAAATACACTCACATACAGGCATCGTTATTGAAATAAGGATGTGTAATGTCTGATAATGACACAATCACTACAAGAATGTGCGCGTGGCATGCACGCACGTGCATTTAGGGATGAACAGTCTTTCAACAACAGTTCACTGTTCTTGTTTCAGCCAAACATAAGGTTGGCAAATGAATGCTGCCAATCATTTGATACATGTACACAGATGAAAATATGCTTTTTACCACATGACAATTGCACATGCAATCTTCAAGGGATCATCTCATCGGTTTCTGCACATCTCAGCCTGCTGAAGTCACTGACACAGACTTTTGTTGGGAGTTCAGCCTCAAATTATGAGTTATTCCCAGATTCTCTGCTTTTGCTTCTGTTTCTTCAGCTGGCGGTAGGTCTCGACCACACGTTGCCTTTCTTCTTCTATGAGCCTCTGTCTGGCCATGGATGGTTTACCTTTGGAGGCTACAGAGTGACCCAGTAGAGAGTTAAGCAGAAGCTCCTTTGACGCCTTCTGGATTGGAAAAGTAGAAAACACAGTTTACCACTTAACTGTAAAATGTTTAAAGCAACCAAGCAACAGGTGCTCAAGAGAGTTACCTTATAATTGGTTTGAGCTTTTATAGGTTTGATACTTAGCGATGGAGGAGCCATAGTCACTTCACCAAAGGGAACATTATCTAGAAATAAAAACACATTGGTTAAGCATCTAAAATAGTTTTCGATTTCCAAGCGTTGCACATTTTATCTGCATATATTAAATGCTTGAAGTAACTTAAAAAATCCTAAAGGATCTGTCCAAAATCAGGGGCTGCATCCTTCCGAGCACTGCTCAATTTGAGCCGGATCCTGTCGGAACAAGATCTGGGAACTATTTTATTTTGAAAGGTCCGTTCCGGCAACTGTGGGCGCAATTTTAATGACTTGTTTTAGTAATATGGCATGCTAGTGATCTCTCTCTCCCTCTCTCTGCGTTGCGCACAGCCAGTCATACCCGCGGAGAAAAAGAACAAACTACACCTACAGCTAAACTTCCAACCTTAACACTGTCAGCAATAAACGCAGCAAAGCATAAATTATCTACAGTTATCCAATAGTGAAGCAAAACTAAACTTTCACGAGAAAAAAAAACCAATTCAATAAACCAGGAAAGCGGGTAGAAATGCTATTTCTATTTTTACACTTTTCACTTCAGTTGTGTTATCACAAGTGTATTTATTTATTTACGTATTTAGTTTGTATTTGACTAAAAATAACTTCAGCTTTAATAATTTTTGAGAAAATCTGTTTTCAATCGATTGTAAAAATAATAAAACAATTACTTGAAGGTTTTGCATTAAATGTAATTTAAAGAACATTAAATTCTCTTTAAAAGGGTTTCAATAATTTTGGAAGTATTTGTACATTTATTACAAAATAGCTTAACTCAATGAAAAACTAACATTGCTGCTTAGGCTCCAGGCAGGGCACAGGATAAGGGACTGAACAGGAACAGGTTAGCTGCTCCTGTGTGCTCTAAAATTTATATTACTGATCCATTCTAAAAAACGTCAAATAATTCACACAACGTAGATTTATATTTCATTACCTGAACATATATGATTAGTTAATAAACAAAATGTTTAGATTTTCAGAATGTCACTATTTTCCTCGTCATTTTTAAAAACTATTAATACATTTTTTATGCATGGATGTATGTATGTACAGAGAAATCAACTTGTCAATACAATGCATGTTCTTAAAGTAACTATAGCATTTTTAACATAAGCAAATTGACACATGGAAAGTATCAGTATGAATAAATCATATGGTGGTAGCTCTTCAGTACTTTCATTGTGTAAAAGTAGCTCACGAGTCAAAAAGGTTGTAGACCCCTAGGATAAATAAACAAATAGTAAAAATAAAAAGAATTTCTTTTTATATTTTTAACAGTTTACAAATAAAGAGACATAAAAACAGGTTGGGGTCAAATAAGGTGAAGGAACTATATATTTATTTAAAGGGTTAAGGTTAGGTTTATTTTAAAATAACTAAAAACAAGTTAAGCTTTAAAAACTCAACCAATTATCAATAAAATAAAATAAATATCAACAAATAACATGAAATTAAATTTTTGGCCTAGTTTTATATTTAGTTTGAACTCTTGTCTCATTTCAGAAATGAAATGCAGTTGAAATATTAAAACTATAAAAAATGCAGTCACTAATTTGCATAATAATAATAATAATGCCAAAGGACTGTGGGCTGAATTAAGATTGCTACCTAGCTGATGGATCACCTTAACTAACTTACCCTTCCACTACCTGTCCTTTGGGGACATTTATTATCTACTTTTGTCCATTGCGTCTCTGAGGAAGAGCAGATAAATAGTTTTGAAGAACAAGCCCGCAGCTGAAGCCTTGGGCCCGGTTCAGATGAACAGAACACCGCAGTTGACCTCATGGAACACTGACTGAACCTGGCACCCACTCACACTGAGACTTTGATTTTGGAGGTGAACAAAAAAAAAAAAAAAAAAGATTTCATGTGCTGCTGCTTAAAAACTGAGAACTAAAACTACAAATGTGGGTGGTGTTGCTATTTTAGTGGTTTACTCACTGGTATCTAACCTTTGTAAATGTATACACCTGTACCCACATTGTGTGACCAACATTAGGGTTGGGCATCATTTGATTTTGAACGATTCAGATTCCGATTCCAATTCCAACTCCAATTCCTCGTTTCGATTCCGGTTCCCATGGATTCAGATTCTTTGAAGACATGACATTTTACATGAGCCAGCTAACCACAGGTCCTACTTGATGAAATAATCTTATCGTCAACATGAATTTTAACTCGATGAACAACAACATCACCTTCATTTTGACAAAAACATGTTTTGGAGACAAAAAGAAGACGACTTGCAGCACAACCAGTGTGTTTGTTTCTGACCACGACCAAAGTCTGGAAGCAGCCTCTGGGATGAGAGGCTAAATGTCTCCAACACATCCAGAAACGTCCAGCTGTTTCCAGCTAAAACTCTCAGGATGATCATGTCCAGGATGCCTGAGAACTACACCTCCATGCTGCAGCAGCTTCAGTCACAACAGGAAGTGATACTTAGATTGTTACTGACAGCAGCTACATTTAACTGATTTTAAACATTAAAACTCAACAGAAATAGTTAAAAAAGGAAATTAAAATGTTCGCAACTTTGTGTGTGATTTATTATTATTATTATTATTATTATTATTATTATTTGTGGCAGAAGCTGGTGTGGTCCACCACAGAGAAGCTGCTCTAGCATGATGACTTTAATTATTCTACAGGTTATTGTTCAGACTTATGACGCTCACGTGTCTGACTGCTGACGCTCCGTGTGTGTTTTTATTTCTGCAGAGACAAACTCACCTCACACCGTCCAGCGTTTGTTCTTTAAAGCTTCTGTTAAATCCACCGTGTTGACGTATTTTAACAAGCTTCCTCTACGCTGCAGGAGTTAAAGTTTACATCACGGAGTAAAGATTCGGCAGACGCGTTTGTTTATATCTGGCCGCTGCGCGCCGGGTGGGGGGGGCTCGTGCTGCACACAGACAGCTGGTGTGATCAGCTCTGAAAAGCGTTGATCACTATTTGCAGATCACGTTTATTTATTATGGAGATCGGCCGTGGATTCCTCTTCCGTCGGCATACTAGGAATCGAAATAAAAAATGTTGAGCGATTCCGGGAAAAAGGAACAGTTGGAACCGGTTCCAATCGATGCTCGATGCCCAACCCTAACAACAACAAATGTTATAAGATGTGTTGAGGAAGCTGAGCAAAGCAGAGACGGGAAATACTCATAAGAGCAGGGGCAGTATTAGGGGTGAAATGGGAATGATGAATATATGACAAATGTGTTGTGATTGGAGCTTTTGGAGATGACTTGGAAGCTTCCGAAAAATGTTGGTATCAAAGCAACAACGATACAAAAATTATCAGCTCTCTTAGCTGAGAGCCTCTCGTTCAGATAAAAGTCCTTAAAGGAGGGGTCAGCTAGATTGCGGCGCAGACACACAGGTGTTGCGGGTAGTTACACAATTTCTCCCCCAATCAGAGGACTCTAGACCTTTTACGCTGTGGCTCCGCCCAGACCAAAAGTCTCTGGACCCACAACAGAAGGGGTCCCGCTCTGGCCCGGTCCGGGTAGATTTCCTGGACTGGTTCAACAATCGAAACAAAATATTTAGCGACCTGATCCTTCACATTCCATGCCAGTTTGGTTGGTGGAAAAGACCTATAAGAGGTGAGGATGGAGGTCAGGGACATTCAACTGGGACAGTTCGACTTGGAGGAGGTCTGGGAGGACTGTGTTGAAGGCAGAGCTGACCATTATTGGAGGTGTGAGACATGCTTGATGGCTCATGAAAACGACAATAGAAGTTGTTTAAATTGCTGGCCAGGAGCAGATTATCAGTTAAGGTAGGGGATTCGGGTTTGTAGCAGTTTTTTTTTTTCGGGAAGTCATTCCAAACAGAGGCTGTGTCGTTCTCCGATACCTGCTGCTGTATATCGTCATAGTACTGTTGCTCAGCTATCACCACTTATGTTTATGTTTATGTGTTTAGCAGACGCTTTTGTCCAAAACGACTTACAAGTGATAATCGGCATGTTGCCCTTGAGGCTAACAACAACAACAAACAATTTCCAGTCAGTCGTAGGTGGCAGTGAGGCAGCATGATGAATCATGGAGAGGAGGGAACAAGGAGTCGACAGTAGAGAGGGGGGGACGGGTGCAGGGAGGGTGCTAGTTAAGAAGATGCTCTCTGAAGAGCAGGGTCTTCAGGAGTTTCTTGAAAATCGAAAAGGAAGCTCCTGTTCTGGTAGTGCTTGGTAGGTCATTCCACATTTGTGGAACGATGCATGAGAAGAGTCTGGATTGTCCTGAGCGTGGTGTAGGCACTGCTAGCCGACCATCCTGTGATGACCGGAGCGGCCGGGCCGAGACGTAAGCCTTTGCAAGAGGATTCAGGTAGATGGGAGCCGTACCATCTCGGACTTTGTATGCTAGTGTTAGCTATTTGAATTTGATGCGTGCTGCTAGCGGTAGCCAGTGGAGCTCAATGAACAGAGGGGTGACGTGTGCTCTTTTTGGCTGATTGAAGACCAGACGTGCCGCTGCGTTCTGGACCATTTGAAGAGGTCTCACAGTACAGCCTGGAAGACCAGTTAGAAGGGCGTTGCAGTAATCGAGGTGGGAGATGACAGTAGATTGCACCAGGAGCTGGGTGGCATGTTGTGTTAGGTATGGTCTGATCTTTTGTATGTTGTACAGCGCAAAGCGACATGAGCGAGCAACAGAGGCAACATGATCTTTAAAGGTCAGGTGTTCATCAATCACAACACCCAGACGTCGAACTGCCTTTGAAGGAGCCAGAGATAGGAAGTCTTTTTGGATTGAGATATTGTGCTGTATGGATGGTTTTGCTGGGATGACAAGTAGTTCAGTTTTTGAGAGGTTGAGTTGGAGATGGTGGGATTTTATCTATTTTGTTATGTCAGAGAGACAGTTAAGATATTCGTGCAGACAGTGTGGTCGTCCGGTGGAAATGACAGATAGACCTGGGTGTCGTCTGCATAGCAGTGGTAGAGGAAGCCATGTGATCGAATGATCTCACCCAGTGAGGTGGTTTATATGGCAAAGAGGTCCTAGTACAAACCCCTGGGGGACTCCTGTGGCAAGATGGTGCATCAGCTTCCCTGCTGAACCTGTACTTTGCATCTCTGTAGAAGTCCTTGTCCCCACTTTTAAAAGCTGCTCTCTTTTCTAACCATAGCTGTTTGAGTTTTGGAGTAAACCAGGTTTGTCACCATTATAGCTCATCCTGGTGTGTGATGGTATGATGATGTCCTGGCAGAAGTGGACTTAGGAGGTTACGGTACCTGTGAACTCATGTAAACGGTCAGAGGCAGCCTTCATCAACTCCCAGACTGTGGTCTCTAAACGTGCAGAGCTCATCTTCAGCCTCGTTGCTCCAATGTCTTGACTTCACAACAGGCTTGGAGAGTTTTAGCCTTTGTTAGTACGCAGGGTTCAGATGGATGGTCACGTGGTCAGAAAGTCCGAGCGCAGGGCAAAGTACTGCTTTATGGTCACCTGTTATCATGCTGTAACAGTGGTCCAGAGTTTGCTCCTCTCTATACTGTTTATATTTGGGAAGTTCCTGGCTCAGACTGGCTTTGTTAAAATCTCCCAGAACAATGATGAGGGAGTCCAGTACATCCGCTCCATGCACAAGATCTGTTCCGCGAGTATGCGCCAAGCCTCGTGCACATCTGCATCTGGCAGGATGTAAATGGCTACTAAAATTATCCAAAAGGATTCAAAAGAAGGCAACTGGACTTCTTTGGTTTCTTGAAGATGTTTTGCTTCTCATCAGAGGAGCTTTGTCAATTGACGAGAAGCGAAACGTCTTCAAGAAACATGCTGGTGAAGGACTTGAAGCAGTTAACGGTTAAGGGGAGTCAATAGCCGGTTAATGACATTTTGAAAATTGTGCAACCCTAGGGTGCTTCTTTTACTCCTCTCTCAAACCATCTATCTTCTCTGTCCAGAATATGTACTTAGTCATGTTTAAAAGTGTGTCCCTTGTCCTTCAGGTGTAGGTGGACTGCAGAGTCTTGACCTGAAGAGGTGGCTCTCCTGTGTTGTGCCATGCACTTGTGTAATTGTTGCTTAGTTTCCCCGATGTAAAGATCTGGACAGTCTTCACTACACTGGACTGCATAAACACCACCGCTGAGCTTCTGATTGGGTGTTTTGTCTTTTGGATGGACCAATTTCAGTCTGAAGATGTTGTTGGGTTTAAAGTTTACCAGGATGTTGTGTTTGGAGAAGATTCTTCTAAGTTTCTCTTGTAAAATAACAATAGACAACTATAATAGACAACTTATAAGCTTGACTCTCCCATATTCCAGTTAGAATTGACAAAGCTCCTCGGATGAGAAGCAAAACGTCTTCAAGAAACCAAAGAAGTCCAGTTGCCTTCATTTGAACCCTTTAAATTACCATGATTTGGATGACTGAGAACCTTCACCAGCATATTGCGGCTAGAATGAATGAAGCAAACTGTAGTGGAGAGTATAACTGTTTACAGTTCATAAAAAGATACTCCAGAGAGGGAGAGCAATGCTGGGCAATCCCTGAAACATCTGTAAACCAACCATTATTAATGTTAAAACACACACCTCCAACGGTGGTCTTGCCAGAGTGAGCCACTTGCTGATTGAGGCGGAGGAGATCTAACTCCTCCAGCTGGACCACGCAGACCGGGGTGTCCCCACAGAGCCATGTTTCAATGTAGCATAAGACACAAGATGAGGAAAAGTCTTAACAGGTTTCTGTACAGCCTGATAAGCAGCGACACAGGTGACTCAACCACTGAATCAAGTGTTTTGGAGCAGAGAAACCATTAAAATGTGCTGGATACCGGCCCCCCAGGACCAGAATTTAATAGCCGTTTTAGAGCATAGAAGCATCCAAGTTCAGGTTTAACCTGAAGGCCCAGATAGTTCTTACCTAAAAACATCTCTTTCTCCATTTTGGCTTCCTGTCTGTCGAGCTTTTTCTGCTGCAGCCTGTTCAGTCGCAGTTTATCATGCCTGTAATCAAAAGCATTTAGTACAGCTCAAAACACAGCAAAATATTTTATAGTACATTTAGGCTGAAAGGTGAACTGAGAAACTATGTAAACAAACTTGAATTGAGTTGAATAGAAAATGTGTTTAGAAATTGAATCGTATTCAGACCTGCCGTGGTCACTTGGTTTGTTTCATAAAGTAAACTCTCTAAGTAGCGCTGTTTTATCACAATCATTGTATAAATTTGGAACTAGTTTGTTTTGAGTGTAATGAGAAAGTAGTTATTCGGCTGTCACGTGATCCTTTAAAATGAATGCGGTGCACACATTTAGTTAACAGATTCTAGCATGCTCCAAAAAAGCTCCACAGAAAACACTAAAGTTGCGATCAAGCCCACCATTTCCTTGTGCTTCCTTCCCTTTGCATAAATTACAGAAAAAGCTGGGATTACTGTTCAAGGAAAACATCAGAAAGCACATTTAGTACAGAAACATCTACTGCTGGTAGGTAACACACTCTGGCTCATATACACGCAGAAATTTAAATGTGAGAAAAACATATTTGCTCTCATCATTTTGCTTGACCGAACATTCTGTTTTAAACTGAAGGCGAGTTGCAGAAAGCTGCTGAGACAAAGTCAGATGATGGCATTCTATTGCACATTAAGGATTATGTCTCTGGGGGTTCAATACCACGACTGATATGACACTACACCACGTCTTGATGAGGTATACAACAACTACAACAGACAAATAAAAGTGAGTTATGTAATATTAGCATCAATGCATTTGTATTCACAATTTTCCTTCATGTATTTCATTAAGCAATTATTATATTTTCTGTCTGAATTTTGTTTTCAGAAATGAGCCTAGCTTTGATTTTGGGTACAATATTTTCTGCGAGAGCATCATCTGCCAGATCGTGAACCAGGAGGTGCTAAAAATTAACCAGCTCACAAGGTCTTTTTCTGATCTGGTAAAACAACACAAAGGTCTTGATGCTTCACAGTACCGGTAACTGCTATAGGTTCTGCAACAGACTATTGCAGTATTTTTAAATGCATCCAATTAAATAGTTTGACATCTACATATTTTCAATTCAGTATCCTTTTATTCTTTATTCTTGTTGTGACTATACTTAACTATAGAAATGCCATAATTTCCCCAAACTACCTTAATAAAGTGTAGCGTCACCGAAGGTCCTCTAATTTGTGGCAAAGGGCGCATTTACCCAGCTGGGACAAACAGTATTTTTAAATCCACAGATTAACCCAAGGAGCCACGATGTCTGCAAGATCATATTCCCTCTGGGATTAATAAAGTATTTTTGAATTGAATTGAATATCCATATCAGCTGCTGTTCCATCCCAGGAGGAGGCCACTTCAAGTCACGATGATAATAATTAGATCAGGGGCGGCGTTAGGCCCGGCTACTCGGGCTGAAGCCCCGGATGTTTCATAGAAAGCCCCGGATCTAAATCGCGGAAGTAACATGCAGTACCAAAGTCCAACAGGGAGGGAGCAGCTGGCAGTAGTTTGTATACACGCTGCCTGAGCCTCCACCACTGAAGAAGAAGCCCTTCAGCAGCCGGCTTCTTCTACACTCTCTGCCTGAAACGCATGAGTGAAGATGGACATAAGGACGTTTTTTTGACCAAAAGTACAACGACAGAACCCCAGCTTTGATGAGACTGGTGCTGACTCAGGTTTGTGAGTCTTATTAGAAAATATTTGTTGTGCTGCTGGTTTGCCTAAAGTTAGCTTATCAGGTAAAGTTGTTGGAGAAAGAACGGGAATATTTACTATCATCTCACACTAAACACTAACAGGAACTATACTCTGCCCTGAATATGCTTCATATGTAGCTTCAGATTAAAAATTATGTGGTACAAGACAAATATATATGATGTTGACTAGTGCGTGTCACGTGTGTGTGTGCGTGTGTTAAGCCCCGGATGTTCTTCAGTCCTTAATCCGCCCCTGAATTAGATAATAATTATAAAACTGATTGATTTTATTACTGTTTAACATAATCTCATAAATGATCACTTGGTTCAGTATAAAGGTATTTTAATTACATGAAATGGATTATTATGCTTTGGGTATAATAATGATTAATTATAATAATGATTATGATGACAGTAAAAGATGTGTTCAGCATATCAGAAGGTCAGTTCACCTTATCCAGCTAACACAGAGTCCAGATAAACGATAACTGCAACACATGTTTTGACGCATGATCAAAGCTTTCTTCCGGAGAGAGTGGGAGTGTCCTGTGAGCTTGGTAAAACTAACCATCACCAGCTTCAGAACCAGTTCTTGAATCAACACCACGGAGGAAAGGGGAACGGCCGTCCCTAAACCTCCACCTGCTGGTCCAGTCATGCCGAAAAGAATAGCTAAAGAATAAACGAAACTGTAACCAGCTAGGGTTGTCACGGTAACCGGTGTAGCGGTAAACCCCAGTAAAAAAGTTGACAATAATAATAACAGTCTTGGTTTTAAAAATAAATATTATCTCGGTGGGTTACCGTGGCTGCGGTGTAGGCGCGCTGACCCTTATCAGCCACCGTATCATCTGCTGAAGTTACCGGCGGCACATGAGCACTTTGTTGTTTACAACCAAAACTTTCTTGAAGCTAAAGCTGAAATAATGGCCAAAAGAGGAGCCGGCACCGCTCAGTACATTTATTATCCCTCAAAGAAGACAAAGTGGGAAGTACGGGCATCTTTTGGATATCTGAAGAATGCCAAGGGACAGCTGATAGAAGACGGCTATCCTGTTTGCAGCACGTGCAGAAAAAGTGTCTGTGAAAGGCAGCAACGCTTCAAATCTCATGACACATCTGCGTGGCCATCACCCACAACTACAGTCAACGCAAGGCAAGCTAACGTTAGCGTTTTAGCTAAAATGCGTGATCCGAGGATTTGGGTTGAGGGAGAACGCAACGAGTGGCTATATAAAGCAGCCGCAGCGCCGCTACCTGCATATAAACCGTGTCGCGGACACCGCCATGTTGAAATGACGCTATGCATTACAGGGCTCTCAGGGGCAGATAAGGGTTGGTCTCTCTCCGAGAATAATTATGAATTTAACAACGATTACTGCCTGATGACGTTTTCCCACATCTGCAAAGCTCACTGGAAGGACACAAACCGAGGACGATATTTTCCTGATATAGGGTTTATTACTCAAGTAAGGGTAAAAAAGTATCTGATTACAGTGCTTACCCTTGGAATTTTTCCAGCTGTGGCAGTGGGCCGGCCGGGGGGTGGTGGGGGGTGGGGGGGTTGATTTGATCTCATTTCAGAGAAAAAGTAGAACAGGTCAGATGCACCTAATAAATAAAATTACTAACAAACTCAGGAATCAGTTTCTTTGCTTCACTGTTCTGGTGCTGAGAATATCACTAATGCGGGTCAAAGGAGATCCACAGATGAATGCACCTCTTATTTATTATTTGGAGTCTACATTTACTGCAGCTGGCAGAGGCAGAGATTGTTTCTATTGATACACGGATTTACAGAATCATTTTAAATGTTAATAGGGGAAGACTGCAGGAGGGAGCGGTAAAATACAGGGGGTCCCCAGCAAAAACAAGAAACTACGAGTCTGATGAAACCCGCTGGTTTTCCATCAGGCAGTCACGGGGCAGCTCCAACGACCCAGTGGCTGTGCTGGGTCAATGTTATTCGAGCTCAGTCCGGCTCGGCCGTGAACGAGCCGAGGCGACGTCGTGCTCTGCTTAAGAAGAAGTGTTATTTTCCCGCTTCAGAAGAAGCGTCCAACGTGTTTTTACGCTTTCTCCGAGACATGTCACGTTGCTAAGTTGTTAGCGCCGCACGCTAACACGTCAATAGTGCAGCGTAGCCTGCTGGAGGTTTTAAGGGTTCAGATGAAAACACCCGACCTCTCACGCTGCTCACACATCGATCTTAAGTTGTCGCTGTTGCGCTCACGCCGTAATACAGTATTAGATGCGGTTAAAGTCAGACATGCAAAAATAAATTTTACATGAATAAGTGATGATTAGCCTGGTGGGGGGAGGAAACCCTGTCAAGATCGTCAGGAGGTGCACCTCCCATGGTTGCGGAGAAGGGGGGGGGGGGCATGGATGTCGCTGGAGGGGCAATTTTTTTTATGACAAAATACCGTGAGGTGATCAGTAAACAGTAAAAGGTTACTTGTATGCTCCACAGAAACACTACACAGTTGAAAAATGTTGGAGTTGCTGGATATTTTGCTCAGTTTTAAGGCTTTCTGAACCAAAAACCTCAGAAGCAACCAGCAATTCTGCCCCCTAGCCAATCAGTGGCCAAAATCCCGATGGCGGCCTGACTCAGCCTTGCCAGGTACCTTAACGGAGTAGGGACTAAAAATAGGGGGGAAAGTAGAGGGAAAACACTGGATGTTGACCTTGGGAACAACGATTGCATCTGTCTGAGTAGAGTAGGGCTGAAACGATTCCTCGAGTACCTCGAATAATTCGAGTACAAAAAATCCTCGAGTCAAATTCTCTGCCTCGAGGATTCGTTTAATTCATATTTAATTAGTTCATAGCTTTGCCATCGCCCGGGGTCATGTTTCACCCGGACCGAAATAAGTGACGCACATGCCCACTGGACTGAATGCACACGCGAGTAGCGAACGTAACTTAACTTTCTCTTAAGCCATGGCGGACAACGTGGACCCCGGTGGAGTTCTAAAAAGACACAAAATGTAAAAGTTGTGGGACCATTTTTCACGTCGTAAGGCGGAAAACGTACTCCAGTGTAAATACAGTAAAATGGATTTGGCCGACCACACCACATCCTCCATGCTGCAGCACCTGACCAGGAAACATCCACCTGTAAATGTCACTTCTGCAAGCGGACTCGGAGCCTCTACAAGATAATGCTTTTTAGCCTGTATTTCTAAATATTCTGCAGACACTGTGCGACTTTTTCGTTTGTAGCGCTCAGTTTCAGCTCACACCGTACGTCTGGTAGCAACACGTCGGACTTAAAATGTGCTAAAAAATAGCAGTTTTACACAACACGTCGGACTTTTTATTGTGTTACTGATGTCCGTTGTCCCTCGGGGTTTCTGCAGGAGGACACGGGTATTTATGAGAGTGGCGGAGGAAAACGAAAGAAAGTAAATAAATGTTTTGTGATCAGTATAATTTGACAAAACCACGGCTAACATGCTTTCGACAATCCTTGTTATTGTGTGAGAAAAAAGTGTAGAAATTAAAACGGACGTGTGTTAATAGGGAACAGCCGGCGAGCTGTTTGCGCATGCGCCGTGAGCGGTTCTGGTTCTGTTTGGGCCGCAGCGCTACTTCAACAGTTATCCTCCTAGTTTTTGTCTGGCTTGCAGGCTAGCAGATTCTCGCACGAGGGGAAAATCGGCTCAGGTTTACTTATGTTTTGCACAGGCGTTTGTTTACTGTGAAGTAAAGTTGAAGTGCTGAAGTTTTGAAAACTAATTTTGAATAAAACTTGAAGAATAACTGGCAATTGCTTTCTCATTTTAAGAGGTCTTTCATAATTATAACATGCTATTTGATATAATGGTTTACAAACACAAAAGGGTAATTTATTAGAGTACTTAATTAATCGAAAAAAAGATTCGATAGAGTACTCGATTACAAAAATATTCGATAGCTGCAGCCCTAGAGTAGAGCTCATGAAAAAAACACCTAAAAGGTCAGAACCACATGAACAGGGTTCACCTTGATTACGTTCTCAAAAAATCAAAAAGAATGTAATGCACATTTCTCTATTAAAACTTAAATGTAGAGAACAGTTATAACAACATCCTGTGCATGTGAGCTGTTTACCCTCTTCTCTGGCTAAACATTTGAAAACAGCATCAATGGAGAAGTTTTTCAAAGGTAGATGTGAGGTGAGAGTGGTCACTTGTGTTTCTGCACAGACAGATATAACTTTGATCTATTATTAAAACCCAAAACAGTTTAATGTTAATTATTGTATTATTTATTAACTAATTAATGTAACTTATTCCAGTTATGAACTCAATTATCAATATCTCTGGTCAAAAGACATCAGTTATTGATGCACTAAAACTGTGTGTTTTTGGTGTAGATATAAGTATACAACACACAAAGATGAGAATCAGTCCATAATTTCTTCTTTTCATTTTCAAATGAAAATCAAAACATTAAAAAAATTATTGACCTTTCCCTCCGATATCAAAGAAATAGAGAAGGCTTTGGTTAGTGATGACTTAAGACTTTCCAGCCCACTGGTTTTGCTCAAAATGTTGCTACTCTGAGCTTTATTCAGTGCTCATAGTGACTATTGCTGCTGGAGTCCACAACAATGTCTTCTGTGTTTTGATATTAGATAAAAAAAAAATAAACGACAATTTAATTCTATTTATTTTCTGATTTTTGAATTGAAGATTGAATAAACAAATAACACTGAGATGTAACCAAACATTTTTAGAATAGTTTAAATAGAAATACAGAAACTCATACTAACGTACGCGAGGATGAGATGTCATTTTTCAGTATATCATAAACTCACTCTCTCTTCTTCTCAGACTTGCCCTTTCCAGCAGGCAGCTCCTGCTTGCCTGCACCGAGCTCAGGATTTCTGTCCACTTGGTTCTTGGTGAGGAAGAGGACGTGTTTTGTCTCGGACTCCATGCGTTTAATGTAAGCACATTCACTTTCACCCCTCTGTCTCTTGAAGTAAGGGACAGGTATGTCTCCATTCAGTAGCCCATCTTGTTTATTGTGACGGGTGGTGGCTAGAGTCAGAGACACAGCACTTTAAACCAGTTTTGCAAAAACAATGTTTCCAGTGGTGTGTGGAGATCGTTCTACTCACCAGTTTTGAGCTTTTTGACTCCAAATGAGCCTTTTTTCACTTTGTCTTTGCTCTTTATGATCTCTCGAAGCCTGAAGGGGATGTGTTTAAGATGGTCCTCCGGTTTGACTTTCTTGGGATTTTCGTCTCTTTTTAGGGTCTGTTTACTAAAATATCACAGCACACTCGATTAAGAAACAAACAAAAGTGAGCGCTTCGACTTTTCATTACTTTGATACAAAGTCAATAACAACAACTCGTGTCGCAATGATAGAAGAGCTAAAGAACTAGCTAGCGCAGCAGTAGCACATGTTTCACAAGTTAGCTTCATTTTCGTCACCTCTGTTTCAGTCCTCCCCTTTCCACTCGTTTTTCTGGTTTGTTTGATTGATTTTTCCTGCTCTTCCCCATGGTACAGAGCTAAAGCCTCAAATCACTATCAAATGCCAACGCGTGTATTGATGGGAAAAACGAAGAGAGGCTTCGAGGCTTGTGTCGAGCAGGAAGGGGGCGTATCCAAACTCCGCTTCCGGGCTTTTTTCGTTTCACAGAAAACCACGTGACTGATCACAAACGAAGCCACGCCTGCCTGAGTCACGTGACTAATTCGTTTTCTGTGTTTGTTTCAAAATAAAAGCTACCTAACATCACGGTGATTTGTGGGTAGTTTTATTTTGGTGCATGTGTCTGTGTGGAGTTGCGATGTGAAAAGATCTTATTGACAGAGTTCATCCACGATTTCAGGATCACACCTGTCAACTCACGTTTTGGGCTTGAAACTGTTTCAATAACCATAAACTATATTCAAGGTTTGTGCCGTTCAGACTCGGGAAAAATCGTATTTGATGCACTTTTGCCTGCAATGACATACACATACACAATCTGTGAAGCATTTTAATGCATTGTAATGTTACCAAGTACCACTAAATGGCGCCACATCTAATGTCTTCTAGGCCTCGGCACAGATCTTTTTTCTCAAAACTTTATGCCACACAAAGATGAATACAATTTAAAATACAGAGAACAAAGACAACTTCAACTTGACTTCAACATGCATGTGATCTTCGTTACATGGTAATAAAAAGTATGTATGTGTATACATAGAAATAAGAAAATAACATATAGATGAAAATAGATTAATACAAAAAATGAAGAGGTAAAAATAAAGGGAGGAAATTAGACAATATAAAAGCATAAGAATGAAGAAGAAGAATATATTATCGTTCCTTGAAAAAGTTCTCAGGCCCTGGATCGCACATATGTTGTACTTCAATTTAAATAAAAATTGATGATGGGTGTTTCGACCACGCCACCGTACTTTGAGATTTATCAGCTTGTAAAATTAGCATGCATGACTACAAATCAGACATTGGCATGCTATATGACGTCACCAGAGAATCTCCTCTCCCTTAGCATAGCTGCTTACCAAATGGTCATATTTACAGTGGTTCTTTCTTTCTGAAGGAAGGAATTCAAGTTAGCTGAACTTACAGCCATTTTCCCTCTGTTTTTCTCCGTGTCTGGTTCGATGAAGTCACTTTTGTGAAGCGCATTTGTAGTCCTGGACTTATTTTCACACAAAATTTAAAATAACGTTTGCCCCGTTCAAAAATAAGCGTGTTCTTGGTATCAAAATGCATCTTTAAAATTCACGGACATCATATGTGAAATCTATGGCATAAAACAAACGGAATTAGAAAATAGCTTTTTTAGCCCCATTGAAATGAAATTGATTTTTTTCGTTCTTTCAGGGACCCATGGTCTGGAAGTATGGGCGTGACTTAAGCTCCCTATAGACTTAGGCCCAATCTCGCACTGCACATTGCAGACTTCAGCAAAGTACACTTGGAGAAAGTGGCTTCGAGTGCATAGTACACAAGTGTGCGAATAATTGCTGAATTGAGACAGGGAGTATTGCGTCATCGACCGCAAGTCATGCCGGGATGCTGGTTGCTGTGATAATTTAAAAAAAAATACCTTTATTAACAACTTTCAAACAAACAATTATTTGAAATAAATTTACATTCATTGCTGCATTGTAAAAAAGTTTCAAAAACACGATCAACAAATTGTCCTAAAATTAACTATTATGATTAGAAAATACATATTTTCAGAAAAGGAACTTGAGCCTTTTCTCCCGCAGTGATGGATTGCGGGTAATACCCTTCACCCAAGTCCGCGGCCTTGGGTGAAGGGTGGATCAAGGGTGCAAATGGGGGGTGATCAACATCCACATTTGAGAATCGAGACACTCGACGCATTTGCACCCCTGATCAGGGTCGCGCAATTGCAGGGTGCAATGGGTGGACTTGACAGGGAAATTAACTTAAAAATATGCAATGTTGAAATTGAAAGGGTGACAAAAATAAAATTTTTGGGAGTGGTTATTGATCATAAAATGAAATGGAGACAACACGTTAATTACATTAAAGGAAAACTTTCTAAGATTATAGCAATACTGTACAAATCAAGACATATGTTGAATTATGCAGCTTTACATATCATTTAGTGTTCGCTCATACTATCTTACATTTCATACTGTGTGGAAGTCTGGGGACTGACTAATCAAACGTTAGTTAGTACAATAGCTCTCTCACAAAAACGTGCAATACGTATTATTAATAAGGCAGATTACTTGGCACATACACATCTGTTGTTTTTAAAATCACATGTTATGAAATTTAATGATTTAGTATACTATAAAATAATGCAAATAATGTATAAAGCTAAATTAAAGTTACTTCCGCAAAGTATACAAAAGTTTTATTTCTTGTGTAGAAATTAAGTATTATTTTAGAGATATTAATCCATGTATTGTTCCTTTGGCAAAAAAGGAAGTTAAAAGGAAAGGTATATCTGTGGTGGGGGTTAAACTATGGAATAATGTCAGTATAAATGTAAAAATACTTATGGTACATTTTTGTTGTTTAAAAGAATGGTTTTGAAGATAACTTTTGATGGTTTGTTATGAAAATTTAATGTTTTATTACTTCTTGATCATTAATTCTATTAACTGAATCTGAATGTTCTGAAAGTATTCTCTCGCTCTCTTTCTCTCTCTCTCTCTCACACACACACCCACACACACACACACACACACACACACACACACACACACACACACACACACACACACACACACACACACACACACACACTGTCTCTCTCTCTTTCGTATCTTGTATAAAAAAAACTCTCAGGGCAAAAACTCTTGGCAGTTGCCTATGAGCTTCCGCCCAGATTGCGATTTGATGGCTTGTCTTATTGTCTCCTCTTTTCTCTTCGACTGCAGGTAATGGTTTTATGGGTTTATTGATGAATTCCCTAACAAAATTTGGTCCTTCGGAAGCCGGGGTCCCGAGTTCACCTTGCGGCGCCAAGAGCCAACACCGGAAAACCGTCGACAACCTGAATCTCCTCCAGTGCTGAGCTTTCACTGGGAGGTCGGTGTGAGGGTCTTGACATTGCTGGGAGACACGCAGATCCACGAACTCAAGGCCTGGGCGGGGAGATCTAGTGAGACAATTTGTTTTTTGTGGTTTTGTCCTTGTGGTTCTGAAAGAGAAAATTCCTAGGTGACCATAGAATAAAATGGTTTAGTCCACCATGAAAGGATGAATAAACAGATTCCTGAAATGCTGTATTGGCTGGGTTTTGGGCGTTTTAGCCGAAATTAGAAACACTACTCTAGTTTTGATACATAAAACTAAGTGAACATTAAATTGGTTTAGTCCACCGTGAAAGGATGTAAAAACAGATTCTGGGAAGGCTGTATTGGCTTGGTTTTGTGCATTTTAGCCAAAATTAGAAGTGCAACTCTGGGTTTGATAAGTAAGAAATAAAGTAGACCGGTATGATAACTACTGAGATTAAAATTTGATGTCGTCAGCCGGAAGTGATGTTTTTGACAAATTCTCTGAGCTTGGCTTGGTTTTGAGCGTTTTAGCCAGAGAAATAGAAACATTGCTCTAGTTATCTGTTGTTGGTTGTTTGTTTTAAATGTTGTCTGCTTTAACTGTTGTTTGAATGAATAAGAGAGTGTCTGGATTTGCTTCATTCTTGTAGAAAGAAGTAACTCTTTTACACACGTCTCAAGTATCGGTGGTAAGATTTTTAAACAGGTTGGCTGATAAGCCGTAAATCGGATCCCGCTGTGTCAGAACACAGTCGAAGGGCGGATTCGTAAGCCTAAACCTGACTTCATGCCAAAGAAAAGACAATGTGGTATTTAATTATGAGGGTTAGGGTTAGGGTTAGAACTCACAATCATCTTTTGAATGAAGATGGTACATTTATGGAAATGTAGCATCCAGGAATTGGGAAAATTATCAGAATTTCACAAAACATGATTTCTCTGTTAGATTTGATAACCACTGACGTGCTACGCTTACAGTGTATCCTTAAAGTTGAGATAGTAAAAGAGAGAAATGAGAAAATTACAAATGAACTATGGTTACGAGGAAGCACAGAGCGGTGGAGAGAAAGAAAAGGGTTGAAGATGTGAAACAGAGAGGAAGCACAGCCTGCCTCAAAATCCAAACAACAGCAGCTGTGCTTTGAGCCACCAAGGTCAATTGAGGCCTGAAGGTTACCTAACTAGAAAATAAAGATGAAAAATTAACCCCTTGATGCAAAATGGTCACTACAGTGGACAAGTTCTCAACATTGTTATCTACTTATTTATTTATTTATTTTTGCTATTAAGCACTGCTGTTCAAGACTTTATTGCATTTGAGCCTCTCCATTTGGACTTCAGTAAGTCAAGCCAACATGTTTCATGTTCAGAATGCACGCTGTCCACTGAGGTGGACATGTAATAAATTATTTGTAAATTATTAAATGTTACAAAAAATATTGTCTCACCATATCGCTGGTGGTAGCTCCAGCATACTACACGGTTATTGAAGAGATGAGGACGGACTCGATGATTGCGGTGTAAAACTGCCTCATCGACTGTGCTGGCAGATTGAATTTCTTCAGCTTCCTCAGGAAGTTCATCCTCTGCTGGACCTTTTTATTACGGATGTGATTGTGGGCTCCCACCTGAGATCCTGCATAATGGTGGTGCCCAAGAAGCAACATGAGGCAGGTTTATAGGGGGAGCGGGGCTGTGTGCTTCCTATAGTCCAGAACAACCTCCTCTGTCTTCTGGGTGTTCAACACCAGGTTGTTGTGGCTGCATCAGGACAACATCTGTTCGAACTCCATTCTGTAGTCTGACTCATTCCTGTCTGAGATGAGTCCGATGATTGTGGTGTCAACTGCAAACTTGATAAGCTTGTTAAGTCATGGTTGGAGGTGCAGCCATTAGAGTACAGACAGAATTGCAGAGTGGAACGAACACAAACCTGATGGGAATCGGGCCTGCTGGACCCCAGGTCTGATAAATTTTTCCACAGCCTGACCTGCTAATAATAAGAGAATAAAAATTCTACTAGCAGATTCTGTTAAAAATTTATCTTAATCTGATCCTAGATGACACAGACAGAATCCCACTTTTTTCCACATCCCTGCAGTTAAAGATGACAGAAGAGGTGGTGACATGT